ACGAAAATAAATCGAAAGGAAACGGCGGCAGTGAACACAAAAACAAATCGAAAGGAAACGGAAGTCTCTGACTAAATATATGGGTTTGGTGAAAAATGCGGATACGGACTGCGGATTTTTTATTTCATAATTATATACGTATAAACGCGCATATATATTATGGTGTCAGTCGTCAAGCTTATTATTGTGGTTTATTGAAATAACCCCATTTACACTAGAAACGAAAATAAATCGAAAGGAAACGGCGGCAGTGAACACAAAAACAAATCGAAAGGAAACGGAAGTCTCTGACTAAATATATGGGTTTGGTGAAAAATGCGGATACGGACTGCGGATTTTTTATTTCATAATTATATACGTATAAACGCGCATATATATTATGGTGTCAGTCGTCAAGCTTATTATTGTGGTTTATTGAAATAACCCCATTTACACTAGAAACGAAAATAAATCGAAAGGAAACGGCGGCAGTGAACACAAAAACAAATCGAAAGGAAACGGAAGTCTCTGACTAAATATATGGGTTTGGTGAAAAATGCGGATACGGACTGCGGATTTTTTATTTCATAATTATATACGTATAAACGCGCATATATATTATGGTGTCAGTCGTCAAGCTTATTATTGTGGTTTATTGAAATAACCCCATTTACACTAGAAACGAAAATAAATCGAAAGGAAACGGCGGCAGTGAACACAAAAACAAATCGAAAGGAAACGGAAGTCTCTGACTAAATATATGGGTTTGGTGAAAAATGCGGATACGGACTGCGGATTTTTTATTTCATAATTATATACGTATAAACGCGCATATATATTATGGTGTCAGTCGTCAAGCTTATTATTGTGGTTTATTGAAATAACCCCATTTACACTAGAAAAAAATTGGGAACAGCACGGCAAAAAACGGTTCCTGTCATCACTCGGAACGGGTAGGCTAATTTTGTCAATTAGCCGAATTCATATTAGGGACGGGAAACTCGTCTTAGACGGGAAACTCGTCTGCGAAAACCCGTCTGAATATGAATTTAGGGACGGGTAAATTCGAATTTAAGACGAGTTTCCCGTCTAGATGAGATTCCCGTCTAACTTTCCCGTCTGTTTAGACGGGTAAGTTAGACGGGAAAGTTCGGACGGGAAACTCGTCTGCGCCCGGATTCATATTAGACGAGTTTCCCGTCTGAGACGAGTTTCCCGTCTAAGACGAGTTTCCCGTCTCTAATATGAATTCGGCTAATGTAAACATGCCGTTCTTTCTTGAATTTTCGGTACGGTGCCTCACTTTCCAAGCATTTTAGGACCACCGTTTTAGGTGGTACCGTTCCTGTTTTTCACTAGCCCAAGCCTTTCACGCGGAATAAATCTTGCATGCGCATGCTTGTGAACGAATTCCGAGATGGCTGCCAAAAGTACAAAAATGAATTCGCGGCGATGGTCAGATACTGCAACGATGGATTTGATTAATTTATGGAGAGAAGAAAGTATACAGCTTTCCTTAGATAGCAGCAAGTCCAGTAAACAAACTAGGGCGATATACCAGTCGCTAATGATAGGTTTCTGTATTAATATAATACATATACTACTTTTGAATATTTTATATTTATACTTTATGCAATTTGAGATTGTTGATTTCTGCCGCAATAAAGCAAATAAAATTAATACGGATCTCGACAATGATCTCGACTCGATGATGAAACGTTCGCCATCTTGGTTCCTATTAATACGCATGCTCAGTATACAAATTACCCGTACCGTTCCCACTCATCAAAATTTCGGAAGCAGTCCGATTTTCAAGCTTTTAACCAGTATAAACATAGCGTTCCTTTAGGGGCGGACATTTAGAAAAGTGATGGGGGGTGGGGGGGGGAAGCAAAAATAAAAATTGAGCAGGGAGAACAGAAAAAAAAATTCGTGCACCAGAAATGTTTGAAAAAAAAATTCTTTTCAATAGGGAAAATTATAAGTTGACCGGGCCTATCAGAGGTACAGTGTAAGGGTGTCCCCCAAATTTGGAAAATAAGCGTTTTAATCATGTTTTAAGAAGTTTTTTTCGGGGAAAATGTGGTTTAAACCTTAACTAAACTGATGGTAGTCGGGAAAAAAAATTTTAACCCTTTTTTTCTTTGTCCTGAAAAATTTTTTGAGTCCGGGAAAAAATTTTTCTCCAACAATTTTTGGAAAAAAAATAAAATTCGAGCAAGGGATTATTTAAAAAAAAATAAACGACACAGCAAAAAATTTTGAAAAAAAATCGTGCACGTTGAAAATGGACCCCCCCCCCATCACTTTTCTAATGGTCCGCCCCTTACTGGCAGAAGCGGAACTATTCCGACTTTTTGCCGTGCCGTTCCTAAATTTTATATAGTGTAAACGGACCTTATATTCAGTAGCGTAGCCAGCCTGAAAATGTACTCCTGCTATGTAAATTTCAAAGCATTACTGCATTATTCATTTCTTTAGAAATTCATTGTTTTTACAGTCTATGAACACACTAGAAATATTTGCATAGCAGGAGCAAATAGTCAGGCTGGCTACGCCACTGTCCTTATTAGTTCTATATTGAGTACCTCTATTTCGCAAACCGTGAAATCTTAGCAAAAGATGAGCTTTGCAGCTCGTGATTACTTAGCCTGCGAACAGCTAGTGATTACTAAAAATTAGAACGTAGAAAAATTAAAATAATGTCTTAATGAACATTAGTCATTACCCTTCATTGACATTTTTGATATCTAAAGACAATTTCCTTTTATAAGCTGCATTACTTATGTGCTTGGTATAAACGGCACAAATTTGCCTTATACAACATGATTTCGGGCCTCGTGGGTAAAAAAATTATGGTTTAGTCTATGGTAAAAGAATAAAATTATTACAACGATCAGCCTTTAAAATTGTGTGCATATAGACATCTTTTCTAGCCTACGCGGAAAAGGAATGAACAACTTGATATTCCTAGGGACCCAAAATTTACTAAATTGGCACCTGAAAACTAATGTCCTCCGGGTATCAGAAAACTAATGAATTTAACATATTCCAATTCACCTTTGTTGGGGTTGTTTTTAGTACATAAAAGTGTTTAGAAAATGGGGTACATATCCGCTAAAGGGGGTCCATATCTACTAGGAGATTTGGACTGGGGGTCCAAATCTACTGGGGGGTCCAAATCCGCTGTGACACTCCGTCTCCGCCTGACAACGGCCTGCGAGCAGGCTACTGTGACACCGACAGTCTACCCTGGTTGCCAGAGGTTCTCGCAGTCTATTACGTAAAAACAAACACATGCATTTAGTAAAACAAAACAGCAAAACTAACAATCTCGTACCCAGCTAGAGTATCCCTGCGAACGGGCATACTCTGGGTACGAGATTGTAAACTAATAGAAAATTTGAAAATTATAATTTAGTTTGTTATTAATAAGATATCTGCGAATGCTTTCAAGTGGAAAGGAAGGAATACATTGGTAATTTTTGTTTTCTTCGACCAAATGTGTACCACGCTACTAATATGCATTTCAAACCATGCATTTCTTGTTTGTTTCGAGTATAAATGCCATATAATAAACTTTTTATTAACCTCGCTTGCTCGGTCTTTACAGAGAAATATCGGACCTCGGTCTTTTTGTACAAACCTCGCCCTACGGGCTCGGTCTGTACAAAAAAGACCTCGGTCCGATATTTCTCTGTAGACCTCTGTCTGACATTTCTCGAGGTCTTCGAAGACCTCGCGTTCGGTTAATAAGAAGTTAAACTTGATCCTTAATACAAAATTGCGATACCCTAATTGTAACTTTTAACTAATGTCCACGTCAAATGTATAGAAAAGTTATGAGAGCGAGAAAATAGTCGATATATATATATGGTAATAAATGTTGCTTTTCAATATAGACTTATAGTGAACAATTTTGACACTCCAAGAACTATCTTAAAATATATTTCGAATCACCCCACCGGCACCGTACGTTATCGAATAGTTTTAGTAATTTTACACTTTCTTCAAAAACAAAAAGGAACCTAATTATGCCCTAAGGCATGTTCTGTACTAACAGTAATAAAGTTAGTTTAATATCAGGAGAACGTTGATACAATTTTGACAACAAATGCCAAAAATGTAGTATTCTAGAAATGTATTAATAAAAAACTAATATTTCCCATTTTCGACCATTGAATTTCCACCCTCGACTTTCGACCCTCGACCTCGTCTTTTGACCCTCGGCCTCGATGTTCGAACCTCGACCTATGACCCTCGACCCATAACCCTCGACCTATGCCCCTCGACACTCGACCATTACCCAAACTCGACCTTATCCTAATAATATTACAATTTATAGTAACGTGATAGTAACATTGTTACATGATAATACTGTTACAAATGTTATGAAAACATTGTTACAGCATGATCACATTTTACAACATGATGATAAAAATTGCTACACCTATGATAATCGATTCCACGACTACAACACACCACAATTTTAACATCACAAGCATCATGATCACTGATTGTTACTGCAGGAAACCGGATAACAACATCGTTGCGAGCATTGTTGCATGACCGAAGCTTAACCTAAGCTCTGTATTTCTTTCATTTTCTTTCCAATTCTTAAATGCGACGAGGGTTGCTGCTGGAACTTCATTTCTTTTGTGCTTTCGATGATATGCTTGCACGGTTTAGGAGTTGTACTCAGCTTGGGTGGTTCATATCCAAAACTAACCAAATCCTCGATCCATGCTTCCACGACAACAGCATCTATAGGCTTCCAGATGTCTTCCACCACCAAGTCAATGGCGAGTTTCAGCATACGGTTAAAGAAATCCAGACCTCTTCCATTCCATTTCTCAAGATAGGAGATGTAGCGACCTGATTTGTAGTACAGCTCTTCTTCGTCTATGAAATCTCTGAGGTAGTTGTGCGCATTACGGACCTGGAAGTTAGAGAGGAGTATTAGTAAAACATGATCAGAGAATATCATGCACCCTAAGCAGAGAATATCATGCAAAATGAAATGAGTACGTAGATCATAAAATATAATCACCTGATAAGCAGTAGGTCCAAAGTAACCAAGATAGCCATTGACTTCTTGTAGCAGTCGCTGTACATAGAATGATCTCCAAATATCAGTAACACGAAGTGTACCACTGGGGGGTAACACCAATCCCCAAAATGCATCTTTGAAATGAAGAGTATTCTGACAGTTATAGGGCGTGTAGGCACCTGGCGGGATCAAGATAGGCGGAGCCTTGGGGTCAAACCTTAAGTCCAGTTGCACACCATCATCCTTACGGGTTAATCGGAACACGGCATCCACGTCCGGGTCACCATCCACCACCCCCTGCTGTATGAGAGCTCTAGCATCTTTACACTTTACAAACGTATACACAGGGGGGTTGGCTATGTTTTCTAGAGGGTAACCTCTAGGCCATATGGAAGCTTGACCGAAGTGCGCGTACGGGTTTACGGTGTCGCGATCCGTGCTGTAGACATAAAAGTCGCCTTTCTGTTCCTGGAAGAATTTTATGGTGTTGTTGTATGGATGGGTGTCATCATCTGTTTCGTAGATCATTTTAGCACCATGTTGTATTGCATAAAGGTGACCAATGGTCTTGCGAGCGTAGTTACTGTAGGGCATCACTTGTGCAGTACGATAGCCAAGCTCCACTTGTTTCTCTACACTCAGGTATATTGTATTTGGTAGGCTGTCGAAATAAAATAATTGAGGTCAATAACGTCGGCAATCGACTAATTACCAAACAAAAACACTAAATGGCCGATTAATTTTATTCTGTATGGGCATGTTGACCGATTAAACACACACAACATTTTCTTGGCTTCGCTGTGGCGGGCAACAAAAAATTATTTCTGAGGGTCCAGTAATGGCCATCCCTCCTCATTGCTCCTGGGTGTTGACATAGGAAGTGTCGTAAACTAATTTTATTTAAACTGGACTACTCTAACAGGGGACTAACATATATATGCATGGTTTAACTAATAAGTATACGTCTAGGGCAGCAGATCAGGCCCTAACTAGGATTCTGGCAACCGAGTCAACCACGGAAGGTGCGAGCCTCTAGAGTGGTCTGGGGGCATGCCCCCAGAAAATTTTGGATTTCTTGAAGCTCAGATAAGCTATTTCCAGCATTTTGAGGAGTGTTCGAACAAGAAATTAACCTTCTAAACAGTGACATAATTACTGCAATTTCAGTCTCCCAAATGTAATCCAGTCCCAGGCAACATTATGTGATGATGCGGTAATGAAAATGTGCATGGTATAGTATTATCATTCACCACACTTCAAATTCTACAGTACTTTATTACATGTATTGGAGTACTTGAAATTGACGCATTTGTCTTCTCAGTGTCACTGAAGAGCAAGATCGGGTGGTCTCTTTGGAGTATCTTTGCTTGGAAAAACTAAACTAAAATGCCATTTCATGCCTTGTTCCACGAGCAAATTATTTCAGTCATGGTTTAGGTTTCTGGCGATGTTTAAATTTCAGTCCCCAAATTCTGGCCTATACCGAGTCATCTGACTGTTGACCCATAGCTAGTTACGGGCCTGCAGATGATGGTCAAATTCAGAAATGCTAACAACTTAACATCATTTTCTCACTTTGATATATAATTGCTGGTTGACCACCTACTGCAGGTAGTTCTTAGGGACCTCACTGGGGGGGGGGGGGGGGGGGAGGGGGGACAAAATTGCCGATTGGAAAGTGTTATGCCAAAAAATATTACTATCAATAAGGCGGATCAAGTAATTTATACGATGGCGGCTAGTCAGAAGCGTACACGTCCTTGCGAAGGTTTCTATACGACTACAGAAGAAGGTTTAATGCTGATATAGAGTTTATATATAAAACGCTCGTAAAAGTTTGGCAACCTCGAAATTGTGTGAAATACTTGGCCTTCAGGCATACATACATTCTCTTTATGTTGTTGTTCATGAAAGTGTAACCCGCACACCAATAGCGCAATGCGTCATTCATGTTCACGCGTATCGCACTACAAACATATTACACTGCACAAAATGCATTATTTATCTGCCTGTTGATCACTTATATACTGCTCTATTAATTGACGAGATTTCTGATATTGTGAATCACTATAAATAAACGTCGCTTACAGCTGCGTCGCGACGATTTATCGGGAATATACATGCCATATAATGTCATATATTAAAAATATATAATACATACTTATTACTTATTGATAGTAATGTTAAAATTAGGAAGGTCTTCTTTATTCGAATTGCTTTCCCACTGAAATCGAGCCTAATATAACTGAGAGGGAGTTTAAAATCTCCGACGCGGCCAGTGTTCCAGGAAATTCCCCCCCCCCCAATTTGCCCTCCC